TCTTTCCCTTCATCCATTCCTCAGCAAATTATGTACTTCTCTCTGCCAGATATGTGAGTGCTATGGTTAAATTTTTAGGTTTCACTTTCACCTCCCCTCTGATGAGATGCCTAATTTCTTGGTGTGGGTATGTCCTTTTTTTTCACTCTTGTTTGTGAGCATTTCCTTGTTTCTGTCTTGAATTTGCAATGATGGGATGAATAGCCATCTAGAAATGCTGAATGAAAATAAAAAAGAAATATAAAAGTCTTAACATTCAGAAGGAATGCTGCTCTCAACAAAGAACTTTTTTTTTTTTGATGATATGCTGCTATAGACATTTTCTTTTATAACAAAACAAAAGATATTGAGAAACTTCTTTGACTCTGATTTGGATTAAATCTTTGTTGAATTTGAATCGATGAAGTACCATTTATGCTTATTGTTTCAATGGTTATATTTTGTTAATTTATAATTGTGACTGGAGGAATTACTATGAATTTTATACAATATTTTTTTGCCCATATAAATCTACATCGAAATATTTTATCAACGTGCTTTGATCCATCTCTATCATATATTTTTAGGAAATTGACATGTCTGTTATCTGGCATTATATAATCATCATATTAGATTAGAAGCTCGTACATATAACTGCTTAACATAGCTTATATTGTATTGACTCTTAAATTTCATTTAAATTGATTGGGAATACATGATCTTTCTTTGTTATTTGAATTAATTAATTTGTAAGATTTCTAGGCCAAGAATATGAAGTTCATGAAGTGGTTTGTATGCAACATAGAGCTAAATGAGTTGTATGATCTTAATACTGCTTTATAACATAGTAGTTAATAGCGGGCGGAGCGGCCGCTATCGCGGCGCTCTGGAGCGGAGCGGCCTGACCCCGCAATCTCGCTGCTGTCACGTGGCGGATTTGTGTCGCGGCCGGAGCGGCTATGTCGGTGGCGGAGCGGAGCGGCAAAAAATCGCGGAATCGCGACGCGATTTTGACATACCCTTCATTAAGGGTAAGTCAGTCTTTTCAATTGGGCTTTTTTTGCCCTAATGCTCCCTTCTCCTTCTCGCGGTTTCTCAGTTCTCGCACTCCCTCTCCTCTCTCTCTCTCAGATTGTTTCTTTCTTCTCTGGCGATCGTGGACGCGCAGTCCTCCATTTTGGCGACGAACTCCAGCTCTGACGCGCCTCCAGCTCCGACGCACCTCCAACTCTGCGTGCCTCCAGGTTCGACGTGCCTCTAGCTCCGACGTGCCTCCAGCTCCGACGCGCCTCTATCCGCTTAGTCTGTCTTCTGTTCTCATGTCTTCGACTCTTCTCTCTTTTATGCAACATAATTTTATTTTTAATTTTTTATTAAATTATTTCAGCTGATTTTATTTTTAATTTCTGATTAAATTTAATTCAGCAAATTTTATTTTTAATTTCTGATTAAATTTAATTCAGCAAATTTTATTTTTAATTTCTGATTAAATTTAATTCAGCAAATTTTATTTTTAATTTCTGATTAAATTTAATTCAGCAAATTTTATTTTTAATTTTTGATTAAATTTAATTTAGCAGATTTTTTTTTCTGATTAAATATAATTCAACAATGTTTTTTTAATTTTTTGATTAATTCAGCTGCTTTTCTATTTCTATTTCTAGTGGGGGTGATGAATTTGAGGGAGAGGAAGACTTTAATCTTGATGAGGAAGAAGATTAAACTATAATGTTTAATTTTTTTACTTAGAGCTTTAGCACTTTGTTTTGGAGACATTTTATATTATGTATTGTTTGAGTACTATGAACTTTTATTTATTAAAAATGTTTAATGCATGAATTTAGAGTTATTTTTTATATTTTTTAGCTTTTATATATATATATATATATTATTAATTATTTAATATATATAAATTAATATTAAAATAGCGGTTATCCCGCTCCGCGTCATCCCGCTATCCCAGTTTTAGGGTCGACCGCTCCGCTCCGCTATCCGGGATTGACTACTATGCTTTATAATACTGTGTACTATAATGCAGTGGTAGTTGATTCATCTCTGTTTATATTTAAATCTTTCCTAGTTAAATATATAAATTGGTCCCTATATGTGTCACTAATTGTCAATTTGGCCCCTATACATGAAACTTATTGAATCGGTCCCTATATGTGCAAACAATACCGGTTTGGTCCTTGCTGTTACACATTGACATTTAACTCCCTTATGCATTCTTAATTTGGTCCCTATACATATATAGTAGTGTATTCTTAATTTGATCCCTTGTAATAAAATGTAGCGCATTCTTAATTTGGTTACATATAGGGACTATATTAAGAATGCACTACAATATAGACATGTTTGTGAAAATTGAGTTTTAACTGTAAGAACTATTGAGTTTACAAGTTCAAGGACACCAACCTCTATAACTCGGTTGCAAAATCGTTTTTGAGAGAAATTGTGCAAACTCGAGCAAGCTCAAGCTGACACGTACACATCGCGAGTGTATACGCTATTTAGTGTGTCTACATGGGTGACTAAAAGAGCCCACAAAAAACACAAAACAGGGTGTTTCATGATAGTTTTTTTCTCCCATGATGTGTGTTTCTCGCATAATCTGAAGTACTGAACGAATGAACCCCAAACACAAAGGTTGTAAGCTCTTGTGGAGTGCGATTTGTGTGTCTGTGCTGTGCTCGTCAGGCTTCTGTTTGGCGTTCTCTGTTCTGTTCGGCATTTGGGTCTCTGTTCTCATTGGTATTGGGGTTCACTGTTGCTGCTTTGTTGTGGTTCCGGGATTGTTTTCATGGTTTCATGGTTTCTGGGATCTAATGGTTTCAGGGTACACATTTAAAGACATTAGTTTTTTTTTTGTTTTTTTTTTATTTTATAGTTTTTTAAATGTTGTCATTTTAAGAACTTGTGTTTTATATGAATTTAAGTATTGATTTGGTGTAGTTTAAAGTAATGCACTACTAAATTTTGCTACTTTATTATTGTAATTTTCTATTTTGCTTTAATATGGTGTTGAAATGTTAATTTATTATGTTATTTCTATTTTCTAGATATTTTAATTTTTTTTTATATTAAGTAAACTCTTGCGAGTTTATAATTTGAGTTTACAATTCAAGATTACGAAGTGTCAAGGAGTTTATGTAAACTCTTGAATTTCACAACCTTGCATATGTAGACTAAATTAAGAATGCACTAAATTTATAGAGACCAAATTAAAAATGTTTTAAGGGGGTTAGCCGTGATAGGAATCTAACCAGCTACATTTACACATAAAGGGATTGATTTTACAAGTGTTTATGTATGTTCGAGATCCTATACCGACTAGAGATAAGGTTATAATAGTGTACATGAGTGGGGAGTAATCCTTATTTTACAAGTTAGTTTTGTAAGGTTAAGTTAGACCTATAATTTATTTTCTTAACGTGGTATCAAAGGCAATCCTTAGCGATTATTTGTTGTTGAACTTATTAGGCTACAAGATATCGGGCCGTTATCAGGCCATCCGTAGATGTCTGATGTCTAGTCCTACAAATCTTACACTTGAGATGTCTAGTCCTTGACATGAGCAAGTGTGTTGGAGATCCCACACTGATTACAATTAAGACCAACAAAGAATATAATATATAAGTAAAGATCAATTCTCACCTTATAAATTGGTTTTGTAAGGTTGAGTTAGGTTCAAATCCACTCCCTTAAGATCCTATAAGGAGCAAATTGAAAATTTATGACATGTACAAGGACTAAATTATGTGTTTAACCAATCCTTTCCTGCCTTCCTTCTCTCCTAATTATTCTTTTACTTGCGCTAAATATGTACTCCCTCATAAATTGTAATTAATTATTGGCTTATGCACCTATTTGGTGCCATTAAAATTTTTTTTGCTTGAGTTATGTTAGATTTAGTCTCTCGTTGGTTTTGTCATAAAGATAAGGATTTAATTATCCTTTGACTTGTTCTTTTATTTCCTTACAAAATTAAAATTTCAATTTCTTTTGATTAATCATTATCTTATTTTCTTAGAAAAAATGTTTAATTTCATTTCTTCTATTCTTATCAACATGTGTGCCTCACTCACTTCAATGACAAGTATTTGATTTTAACAGCTTTTGCTCATGGTTCTGGAAGATAAGGATAAGCCGAATATTAGGAAACTATCTGATGAGGTTTGTTAGATATTCAGTTTTCCTTTCTTGACGATAATTTTGCTCTTGATATATTTTCTCCCATTACTTGCTTTTATTCATGTCATGTATTATTTGTAACATAATTTGTTGATTTCAGGAAGTTAAAGATTTAGCACGACCTGGATTTATAATTGATGATATTGACAATGATATGATTGATGAAGCTGTTGAAGATTCAGATGGAGAGGAAGAGTTGTTTGATTCTGTTTGTGCAATTTGTGACAATGGTGGTGAACTTTTGTGGTATGATTTTTTCGTGTAGGTTAATTTAATGTGATGTGATTTCTCTGTGCGGTGTATTTAGTTTTGTTTGCATAATTTCTCCAGAGTATTGTATAATGTATATGTTTTTCCTGCTTTATTTTACAATTACAGTTTATTTTTTTTCTTTTTAAAATTTTGAAGTTATTAAATGATAAATGCAGTTGTGATGGAAAGTGCATGAGGTCTTTTCATGCTAATGAGGAGGATGGCGAAGAATCTGCTTGTGCCTCTCTTGGTTTTAGCCAGAAGGAAGTTGATGTATGTTGATTATGTTCTCATATTTATTTGACTTGTCTTTTTCCATTTACCATTTCATTGTATACTCGGATAGAAATTTAATTGCTTAAGACACTTTTTTGCAGGAGATCCAAAACTTTTACTGCAAGAATTGCGAATATAATCAACATCAGTGCTTTGCATGTGGCGCACTAGGCTGTTCTGATAAATTTTCAGGTGCTGAGGTATAACTATGTGCCACCCAATCCTTGGTTGTTTATCCGATACAAATATTATCAGTTCTGTTTTTGTGGAGAAATAGCTTTTGGCATATTTCACGCCGCTCCCACTTTTATGTATGATTTTGATGATGACGTGTCTAGTGTTTTTTGGTAACTGAATATCAAAATACCAAGGGAAATTGATATCCTTAGTCTGGTTCATGCTAGATTTCATTTGAAATAGAGCTCTCTGTACTGTGTAAAATAAGAGAAATTGGAAAATCATACCTATTGAACGGATAGAAAAGGAAAAATAATATTTCTGATTTTATTGAAATGAATTGGATGATTGAATCAGAATACAAACTGGTATTTATACAAGAGGAAAACTAACTCAACTGATGAGCTTGTACAGCAAGCTAGATCAGTCTTATACAAGAAGCTATTACAAATTGAAAGTCAGCTGTCTTGTAGACAGCTGAGATACAACAGGAGTAATATGCTCTTATACCCCCACATGCTCAAGGGGGTTCAATCAGCAGTAGAAGGTAGATTGAACACATTGAGCTTGGATTGAGATGCATAAACCGAGTAGGAGAGAGTGGCTTGGTGAGAGAATCAGCCCATTGATCTTGAGCAGGGATATGCATTACACAAAGTTATTTAGCAAGAACCTTTTCTCTAAAAAAACGTATATCTATCTCTATATGCTTAGTGCGAGCATGAAGAACTGGATTGTGAGCCAAAGAAACTGCACTTTGGTTGTCACAAAAAATTGTAGGTAGTGTGTGAGAAACTCCTAGCTCTTTAAACAGAGTTTGAACCCATAATAGGTCTGCAGTAACTTGTGTAAGCCTGTGATACTCAACCTCAGTGCTGGAGTGAGCAACAACTTGTTTGCGAGACCAGCAACATATTATATTAGGACCAAAATAAATAGCTGTACCAGAAGTGGACCTGGTCATCTGGGTCAGCAGCCTAGTTAGCATCACAAAAGGCTTTGGTACCGGCAAAAAGAGGAGAGAGAAAAGTGTGTACACGACAGCGGTGGCTGACATGGCAGTGACGGTGGCGGTCGTCGAAAATATTGTTGGAGTAGGGTTCTCACCAAATGGAAGCGAACCGGAAATTAACACAGTTCGAAAAAAAAATTGTTCTTCAGAACTAGTGGGTCTACCGGGCAAAAGAAGGTTTCAAAAGTGAATAGAGAAGAATCAGAGAATAGAGAAGAATAATTGACTGAAACAGTGTCTCAATATACACAGGATGAATGGTTATATAGATTTATTTCATAGATTACACATGAATATAAAAGATATGATTTTCTATAATGTCTAAGATATTATCTCTACATACTATATTTAATATCAAAGTAAGATAATATCAAGATAAGATGATATATAAGATTCTTATTAGTCTTGAATAGTGGTGGCGAAGAAGTGGGAGTCATCAAGGATCGAATGCTCTTGATACCATATTGAAGAGTGTGAAAAGTGAAAATAATATCTTTTATTTTATTGCAATGAATTTGATGTTTGAATCGGTATACAAACTGGTATGTATACAAGAGGTAAACTAACTCGATTAGCTTGAACAACAAGCAAGATCAGTCTTGTACAAGAAGCTTACACCAGAAGCTATTACAAAATGAAAGTCAGCTATCTGCCGAGATACAATAGGAGTGCTGAGATACAATAGGAGTAATATACTTCTAACATCCAATTTAGGCTAAGATCTTGTAATATATACACAATAAAATGTAGTATAGACAACAAAGTACTTATAGTAGTGCTAAATACATAAATTATGCATGAGGTTGTTAAAATTGAGATTTTTACCTAGGATTGGGAGGAGGATGAAAGATCGTAACTCGAATCATAAGATCCTACATCCCTACATAAGATACTTATATATATGTGTATGTGTGTGTGTATGTTTACACACATACATAAAAAACTACATTCATGATAGATAAGGAAAACCTATAAATAACAAAATTAAACAAATTCATCATCGTAGTAATAAGTCATAACTCATAAGTTCATAACAACATAATTTCCTAAATAGTGAAATACATAACAAAACACAACTCATAAATAAAGTTCAGAAGTCATAACATATTCCAAGTAGACTATTTACAAAAAAGTTCAATATAGTCCTCCTCCTATTAGTCCATCAATTTGTCATTATTGTGCATCCAAATTTCTTCCAATAAGCTTTGTGATATTTCAAAGAAAGATTTGTCTTTTCAATGTGGTGCTTCATGTATTTCACCCTAATCTCATGGTAGGTTGGTGTGCCAAATCTTGGATCTTGTCGGGCAATTGATTCAAATATGTGCTCTTAATTGTTGGCCACATTAAAAGGGTGAAATTCTTGTAGAAAAAGTAGAGTGATTTCTTGGCATGCTTCCTCCATCACATCCTTCTTGAAAATCTCGTTGATTGTCATTTGAAAGCTCGCCTTTCTCTTGAAAAGATTTTGAAGCAACAAAGCTACTACCTACTCCATCAATGTCACTTGATTGTTTTAGGGGCTTTTGTTGCAATGATAAAGCAATACCCAACATATTTTTCTTATCATCTTCACAGACAGCCTAGCAAACTCCAACATCTTTGGCCATTCCTTCCAAATGATGCTTCAAACGATAAGCTCCTCCTATTAACACCTAATAGTATTTGCACTTGACCTTTCTTGCATCCATCAATTGAAACAGTGTTTTTGTGCCTCAATAGTCCTCATTTCAACAACATTTTTATGTATTTTTGGTGGAGGTCCACTTGCACCACTTCCCCCACCTTCACCACTTGTGCTTTCGTTTGTAGACATTTTCTCCAACTCTTGAGCATTGACCAACATAGACACAAGAATAAAAGATTTGGAAACAAAAAGTAGAAACAAAGGCATAACAAGAGGCATCCCATGAAATTGCAAACAAGAATTGGAAACGAGAAAGAAAGGCGTAATAAAAGAGAGATCGAGATCTGGAGACAAGAAACACCAAATTGAACTAGGGAGAGAAGAAGATGCTAGAATAGGGTCTCACTTTGATGGCAACGAGCAACCAACTCACTTTTATGTTCAAATTGTTTTGTTCACATTTGCAAACAAAGGCATGTGCAAAAGCGATAGTGAGGTTTGGCGGTTGCAATGTGGTGGTGTCCAACAGTTGCAAGTAGTATTTTAAAAATTGGCTTTTTGTGAACCGATTGGATCAAGAACCGGTGAAGCAACTGGTTCAAGCCTCTTAATGTACTATATATGTCATTGAACCAGTGTAAACTGGGGTAACCCAATTGATTTTCCTAATGAACCAACAAACCATTGGTTTGTTGTGAGCCCGAATTTGTATTCTTTATACATGAGAAATATTTGAAGTGAAACATGATAAATAATTGAATTGAAACATGAGAAAAGCTTGAGATGAGAATTTAACCCAAGTACTTTGAATACTTAAAAGTTTAGTAACCACTGCACCATTGCATCCAATTGTCATATATATATATATATATATCTATAACTAACATAATTTTTCTAGAATATCTTTAATTTAACATTATATACACACACACACACACATATATATATATATAATAAGATATCAATTAATGCGGTTCTACCCAAATGACCCAGTGAGCCCAACAATACCTTGAATTGATCACCGGTTGGAGTTTTTGAACATTGGTTTTGTAGGGGTTGAGCTATGATTGAAAAGGGGGTTGCAATGCTTTGGGTTCTCAGTGCTTTTGAGTGACTCAAAAATGGAAGAAAATGATTAGGGTTTTTGAAATTGGGTCAATGTTATCCAACCTGGTTTTGGCCAAATAGATTGAAAGGGTTCCATATCTCAAATCCCACAATTTCGTGGGTAAAATTGCGATCTTACAACAATCCTATTGTTGCCGGATCCAAGCACGGAGATCTTGTCGTGGATCATAAAATCCCATGATCTTATGATTAAGATTGTGATTTTAACAATGCACAATAAATGTGAAGGTTTTCCTAGAAATAAGAATGTTTTCGTAGAGCTTTGTTTTGCATGAGACTAAGTTGTGGATTTTCTCCTTTAGGTCTTCAAATGTGCTTCTGCAACCTGTGGCTTCTTTTATCATCCACATTGTGTTGCAAAGTTACTTCACAAACTGGTTGAGGATGCCCCAAAGGAACTTGAGAGAAAAATTGCCGCGGGGGGACCTTTTACTTGTCCAACTCATTATTGCCGTGTTTGTAAAGAAATGGAAGACAAGAAGAAACATGACTCACAATTTGCTGTTTGTAGGCGTTGCCCCAAGTCTTATCACCGCAAATGTTTGCCAAGGTTATTTCACTCTTTTGGGTTTGTGTTGCTATTACTCATTTAAAGTTTCTAATGCATGGAGGGCTGATTCTAAAGTTGCATGTATCAGAACAATTGCTTTTGATGACATTGAGGATGAAGGTATTATAACAAGGGCTTGGGAAGGACTTCTACCAAACAATCGGATTCTTATATATTGTTTGTAAGTGTTATAGTATACTGATGTTTTTGTTCTCCAATTTTTATTTGTGAACTTCAAGAAATGTATTTTTCCACTCTTTGTACCAGAAAACATGAGATCGATGATGAACTTGGGACTCCTATAAGAGATCATATAAAGTTCCCCCAAGTTAAAGCTGCTACTGTTCGAGAAATTAATACTGAGGAGAATGTAAAGCCTGGTACGAAAGAGAGAGTTATATTGAACAAGAATGATATAGACTCAGAAAATTTATTTGGCAAAAGAACTATTGCTAAAGTTTCTAAACTGTCTGGTAAAATTTCTTCTGGGAAAGTTGGTGACAAGAAGTCTGTAAAGATTTCTGAATCAAATATATCAAGGAATAAAACAAATGAAGCATCAAGAAGGTCTTTGAATGAAAGTAAGAGGTTAATTTCAAAGGCAACCAGAAAGTCTGATGCTGTGGAAAACAGGCCCTCATTGGGTGAAAAATTATTTGCTTTCTATCAGAGCAGATCTGAGCAAATTAATTCTGCTAATCAGGTTGAGGATGTAGCTAATAGTACCCTGCCTATTAGGCCTGCTAAAAAGCTGAGTAGTACATTGCCCCCATTAGATGCAGATTCAGAGAAGAGGTGAATCTATTTTCTTGTCCTTCTTTTGAACTGGTTATTTTTCTGGTGTTGCTGTTCCCCTCCCTTCTGCCCCTGTCCCCCCTTTTATTCCTTAAAGGTCTTTTATAGTATTTAGCATAATAAATAAAATTCTGTTGGATATGTTTGAAACTTGGAAGTTATTTTTATGGTTATTTATGATGATATTGTTGAGATGCTTTCTTCTGATGTAGATTGTTGGCTTTGTTTAAAGAAGCTACTTCATCAATTACTTTGGAGAATGTTATAAAAGAGCACAAATTTGCTTCTACTCATACTCACTCATTGAAAAATGTTGTGGAAAAGACCATTACATTGGGGAAATTGGAAGGCTCAGTTGAGGTACGTATGTATCTATATTTATTACTCTATGATGTTTATATTAAGGAATTTGTTTTGAGTTCATGTATTCTGTCTTGTGTATATAGGCTGTTCGAACAGCCCTAAGGATGCTAGAGGATGGGCACAATATTCGGGATGCAGAAGCTGTATGTGGTCCTGATGTTCTAAACCAGATATTTAAGTGGAAGGTACTCTGCTATTCTTTTCAAAATAAAATCTAGGATTTTGGTTCTAAGTTCTAAATATTTATTTCTCTCTTGTATATTTTACACCATGATATTCTTTTATTGTTTTTTAAGTCTTAAATTGTTCTATGCCGTGTCTGGTTACATATCTAATAAATTATTTCCTAAACTTATTTTTTTCTTAATTTGCAATTCAAATAGTGCATTTATAAAGTTGTAGAAATGATTCAGTGTAGTTGTCACAGCTATATTAAATGAATTTTTTGTAGGACAAGCTGAAAGTATATCTTGCACCTTTTCTAATTGGTAACCGCTATTCATCATATGGCCGCCATTTTACACAAGTTGAAAAGCTGGAAGGGGTATTTATTCTTGCTCAACTTTTAGTGTTCTAATTTTAGTTATTCTGTCAGATTCCTGTATATATTATTTGTTAGAATAGCTTGTTTAGAAAGCTTCTTCTTATTTAAATATTTATTGTATTTTTCTGATTGGTCTTTTCTCCTGGTGTAATTGCTTAGGCTTCTAGGCTCTGTAGCCTACTCTGTAGCCTTTTTCTTCTTGTAACCCTAATCACTCTTTATATAAGGAAAATATAAAGATCAGTATGACTGATCCTTTTTGGCCATTCTGTTTCAATATCAAGTTGGTATCAGAGCGGGGTCGATCCCGCTCTGCCGTCCGCCGCTGTCCACTGCCATCCGCCGCCGTCCACTGCCGTCCGCCGCTGTCTGTTACTCCGGCGAACCTAGGGTTTGGTGCGCCTTGTCAAGCGCGACCTAACCCCATCAACTCCGGCGTTGTCAGAGTCCCCACGCGCTCTCACGCGCCGTTTCTCTCTCCGGTTTTGTCAAGCGCGTAATGTTCACGCGCCGTTTCTCTCTCCGGTTTTGTCTAGACTCAGTTTTGTGATTTGACCACTATTTAAGGTGTGGGCCTGCGTTTCTCTTCTTCGGTTCTTCTCTCTTAATTCCTGTTGCACGACCCATCTTTTTATGGCATCTCCAGGCCCTATTTTGTCTATCTCTGGCACTCCGACCATAACCACGGAGAAACTCAATGGAAAAAATTATTTATCATGGGCTGCCTCTGTGGAACTATGGTTCCTTGGTCAAGGGTACCACGATCACTTAGAAATGGAAAACGCTGAGGGTTCAGATGAAAGTTAGGCTAAATGGAAGAAGCTTTATTTTCAACTGTGCTGTGTTGTGGCAGTCGGTTGAGCCCAATATTTTAGGGACCCTTAGAGCCTTCAAAACTTGCTGTTCTTTCTGGAAAAAGGCTCAAAATATTTATGCAAACGATATTCAGCGATTATATGATGCTGCTCAGAAAATAGCATCCTTGAAACAAATTAATCATGAAATGACGTCTCATATTGCTGAAGCCCAAGCTGCTGTAGAAGAACTAAAAATGTTCGTGATAGATGATTCATTAGAGGGAATAAATAAGAAACTTGATAGGCTATATATGGTGCTGATCCTGAGAACATTGCACCCAGACTTCAATCATGTTCGTGACCAAATTCTGACCGGCCACGAGATTCCTTCAATGGACAACCTAATAACTAGACTTCTTCGTGTTCCTACAGAAGTGAAGAATGAAAACTCTGGTGGAATTGTTGAAGCTTCTGCAATGGTTTCAAGTCAGGGTAGAGGTGGTCGTGGAAATCGAGGAGGAAGAGGAGGTAGAAGTGGTCGTCCTCAATGCTCATACTGCAAGAGGATGGGTCATATCCAAGAGAAATGGTTTCCAGAGAAGATAGCAAATCTGTCCAAGTCTGAGAAATTAGGAAAATCTGAGATGAAGGTTCCTGAAGATGATTAACATGAATATCTTCAATGGAAATATATGAATCAAGCTCAATCTGCCTCTACCACTACTGTTTCTACAGCTTGTATTTCTCATTAAACTGCAAATCAAAGTCCATGGATCATTGATTCAGGAGCCTCTGATCACATAACTGGTAATAATTCTGTTTTCTTCCATGTCCCCACTTAAATCACCTTACCTTATTACCTTAGCAGATGGATCCAGAATTGCTCCTAAAGGAATCGGTCAAGTCTCTATGTCTTCCTCATTAAATTTAAACTCTGTTTTGTTTATCCCTAATTGTCCTTTCAACTTAATCTCTGTAAGCCAGTTAACCAAATCCTTAAATTGTTCAGTAAGCTTTAATGCTGAATCTTTTGTTATTCAGGAACGTGGTACGGGTCGGAAGATTGGCGCAGGACATGAATCTGGAGGTCTCTACTATTTTGAAATGCAACCACCTGTATCTTGTGTTGCTGTTTTGTCACCCAAGCTTTTGCATGATCGTTTGGGTCACCCATGTCTATCTAAGTTGAAACTTTTGGTCCCTAGTCTTCAAAAATTAGCTGAGTTAGGTTGTGAATCATGTCAATTAGGCAAACATGTTAGGTCGTCTTTTCCCAAGCAAACTGATAAAAGATGTAACTCGATTTTCACCACCATTCATTCTGATATTTGGGGTCCAAGTCGTGTAACATCTTTTGGTTTCAGATATTTTGTAACCTTTATTGATGAATTTTCTCGATGTACTTGGGTATATTTAATGAAAGATCGTTCTGAGCTTTTGTCTATTTTTATGTCCTTCTTCAATGAGATCAAAAACCAATTTGGGAGACTAATTAAAATTTTTCGAAGTGACAATGCAAAAGAATATTTCTCTTCTGAATTATCCTCTTTCCTATCCTCACAGGGTGTCTTGCATCAGTCTACCTGTCCACATACACCCCAACAAAATGGAATAGCAGAAAGGAAAAATAGGCACCTTGTAGAGACTGCACGCACCCTAATGCTCAATGCAAATGTTCCTGTACATCATTGGGGTGATGCAATTCTCACTTCTTGTTTTTTAATAAACAGGATGCCCTCTTCTTCTCTTGAAAATAAAATCCCTTACTCCATTATTTATCCAAAGGAACCCTTGTTTCATGTCTCACCTCGAGTCTTTGGGTGTACATGTTTTGTCCATAATGTCTCTCCTGGTTTGGATAAATTATCTGCTCGAGCAATTAAATGTGTTTTCTTAGGCTATTCTCGTCTTCAAAAAGGGTACAAATGTTATTCCCCAGAAACCACAAACTCCTTTTTTCTACTGCACCACTCATGATTCTCTCTCAATACAACAAGTGCTACCAGATTGTTCTCATGATTCCTTTCCACCTTAACTTTCAATTCATGACCAAGAGGTTACTCAATCTGTTATTCCCACCACTACTCCTATTCCAGCTACCCCCCTCCTCTTGTTACATATCATCTTCGACCACGACAAATCGGCCCTCCATTACTTGAAGAGTCACCAGATTCTTGTCCTTCACCATCAGATGCCCCTGCTGCAAATCCTAGTGAGGATGGCTCTGAATGGCCCATTGCTCTTCAAAAAGTTATCCGGTCTACTCGCAATCCTCATCCTATTTATAATTTTCTGAGTTATCATCGATTATCTCCCTTGTATTTCTTCTTTGTCACTTCTATATCTCCTCTTACTATTCCTAAAAATGTTCATGAGGCTCTTGGTCATCCTGGATGGAGACAAGCCATGCTTGCTGAAATGCAAGCTCTAGAGCATAGTGGTACATGGGAGCTAGTTCCCCTCCCTCCTGGGAAATGACCAGTTGGATGCAGATGGGTCTATGCTATTAAAGTTGGCCCTGATGGTATAGTTGTTCGGCTCAAAGCCAGATTGGTGGCCAAGGGGTATACTCAAATTTATGGGCTCAACTATAGTGACACTTTCTCTCCTGTGGCCAAGTTTCCTACTGTTCGTCTCTTTCTTGCTATGGCAGCCATTCGTCATTGGCCTCTCCACCAATTAGACATTAAAAATGCCTTTCTTCATGGTGAGTTGGAGGAGGAGATTTACATGGAGCAACCTCTTGGATTTGTTGCTTAGGGGGAGTCTGGTTTAGTTTGTAAATTGAGAAGATCTCTTTATGGCCTCAAACAATCTCCTCGAACTTGGTTTGGAAAATTTAGTCATGTTGTACAAGACTTTGGGCTTAAAAGAAGCGAAGCAGATCACTCAGTTTTCTATTGTCATACTTCTCCTGGGAGATGTGTTTATTTGATTGTTTATGTGGATGACATAGTGATTACAGGAAACGATGTAGCTACAATTTCTCAATTGAAGAAACATTTGTTTAGCCATTTTCAGACCAAAGATCTGGGACATCTAAAATATTTTCTTGGTATTGAAGTTGCCCAATCAAAGGAAGGCATTGTGATCTCTCAAAGGAAGTATGCTTTGGACATTTTGGAGGAAACAGGCATGACCCATTGATAGTCCTATGGATCCTAACCAAAAGTTAATGACTGATCAAGGTGAACCGTTCATAGAGCCAGAAAGGTATAGGAGATTGGTTGGGAAACTCATTTATCTTACAATCACGAGACCTGATCTCTCTTTTGCAGTAGGGGTTGTTAGTCAGTTCATGCAGGCTCCTCATATTGATCATTGGAATGCTGTTCTGCGTATTCTTAGATATATCAAAAAGGCTCCAGGACAAGGATTACTATATGAAGACAAAGGAGATAATTGAATTTCTGGATACTGTGATGCTGATTGGGCAGGATGTCCTATAGATAGGCGTTCTTCTACTGGATATTGTGTATTCCTTGGTGAAATCTCATTTCTTGGAAGAGTAAGAAACAAAATGTTGTTGCTCGATCTAGTGCTGAAGCTGAATATCGAGCTATGGCCTTGATTACTTGTGAATTTATATGGATTAAGCAACTCATTCAAGAGTTAAGATTTTGTGAGAATCATCCAATGAAATTGTATTGTGATAATCAAGCCGCTCTTCACATTGCTTCCAATCCAGTATTTCATGAGAGAACCAAGCACATAGAGGTTGATTGTCATTTTGTGAGAGAGAAGTTGCTGTCCAAGGAAATCATTACTGAATTTGTCAATTCCAGTGAACAACTTGCAGATGTTATGACTAAGTCATTAAGGGGGCCTCGAATTCAATTTTTATGTTCCAAGCTCGGTTCATACAATCTGTATGCACTAGCTTGAGGGGGAGTGTTAGAATAACTTTTTTAGAAAGCTTCTTCTTATTTAAATATTTATTGTATTTTTCTGATTGGTCTTTTCTCCTGATGTAATTGCTTAGGCTTCTAGACTTTGTAGCCTACTCTGTAGCCTTTTTCTCCTTGTAACCCTAATCACTCTTTATATAAGGAAAATATAAAGATCAGTATGACTGGTCCTTTTTGGCCATTCTGTTTCAATATTCAAGTTTATTTTTACATCTTCATGTGTTTCTGTGTTGGAAAGATACAAAGCTAGCTTCAATATCCTCCTTATTCATTGGAGATATTATAGATCTAGGAGCTAGGGAAGGCCTTGGATGTGGGTTATATAGATTTCTCAGTGAGGCTGATGTCACAGAATAGAAGAAATAGTTAAGCTGATGCTGTAATAAACAAAACAGATTAATGGTAATTTTGATGCTTTTGAATTTGATTATCTATTATTTACCAAGATGGTGACTTAAATGTGGCAAGTAGCTTAACAAAGAAGCATCTATATTGGTAGTTTGTAATTTTAGTTAATTTGATTATATATTATGTAGTAAGATGGTGGCTTAAAAGTGCCAATTAGCTTAACAAAGAAGCATCTATATTGGTTGCTTGTAATTTTAGTCCACAACTATTGGTTGTCACCTATTGGTCATTCTTGGTTTAATGGCTTGTCTTAGAATGTGGGTTATAAGCCTAACTCAATCCTATAAAACTAGCTTCTGAGGTGAGCGTTACCCCTCACTTATGTATTCTTTAATTGCTTTAGGTTTTTTCCAATATACCCTCTTATGTCCAACACTATTGGACATGGTACATGTATGCATCAATGGTAGATGATCCTTTAAGAATGAATCTAGATAGCTCTGATATGATCTTAGAATGTAGGTTATGTACTTTACTCAATCTTACAAAACTAACTTGTAAAGTGAGTGTTGCACCCTACTTATATATTCTTTAATTGTCTTATTTTTAGTCGATGTAGGATTTGAGTTTTTCCTAATAGCTTGAATGGTGACAATATGACAAACATTCACATAAATGATCTTATTAGGAGGCTTGAGAGTAAGGGTGGGTGGTCGGGGAGGCCATGTATTGCAAAAATTCCAATACCAACTTACATCTATTGTTGAAGAACAACTTCACTTAAAAGCCTACATGGTCTATCAAATGCCAACAAATGTCTTTGTAATCTTCATAAGCTTGTGTGGGTTTTTTTGGCTTTGAAGTAGAGGTGAAGTATTGGCATTACTATCTCATGGAATTTGATATTTTGTGGCACTTAAATATCTTAAATATTGGATGGAGTTGGTAAGGACAATGTTTACATCGTAAGTTTAATTGTGAAATTGCATGAGTATGCTATTTTTCTGCTGCCTTTCAAGCTAATTTGCAAGCATAATTGTCGGAATCTGAAATCATAGTGGAATTGCGGAGTTGGATCCCAAATTCATTGGATTGGAGCAGTTAGCATGATTACTCTAGATGTGGGTTACCTTTCATGTTTTTGACCTGGATGAAACCTGGAACTTTTAGTTTTTCTGAATCTAACTAAAAAGGTTTCAAACCCACCCTAACTCCATTTGCACATCTCTGCCTCTTCTCTCCACCCTCTTTCCTTCTCAAACAGAACATGACCCTAATCAGATCAGAGAACCTTTGCACATCACCTCGTTTTTTACTATGTTTTCTCATGCCTCACCCTTGCACAGAGAAAGCCATGCTCAGCAGAGCTTGCAACAAAGAAGAGAAGGTTCTCTTCTCTTGCATCAAGCCTTTTTTGTCTTTAAGATTTAGTCAAGGTAGTCAAAATCAAATTTCTAGTTAGACTTGAGAAAGGGTCATTAAATCGTAACATGAAGTGTAAGATTCTACAAGATTTATAAAATCCAAATTCACGCATATAAATTCTTATATATGCATGTGACATAGTATAAAGAAGAAGAAAAAAATAATAAGACATGGAATACTTAATTAAGCTGAAATTCATAATTATAGATTTATAATTTATAAGCATAATAAAGTCAATAATAAACTCCAAACGGAACTGAAGAAAACAACTAAAAATACTGCACTACTATAGCAAAACAGCTTAAAATATCTAGTTTAACTTTAAGTCTAAAATAGATCATCCAAATTTAAACTGTAATCACTCAAGATATCCTTGTTTCTTCCATTTTCTCCATCGTCTTGTTGTTCATTAACCATATTAGCAGTATGAGCCTTATCTAGAGGCGGCACACCAAAATTGTCATCCTCATTTAGATTTGGATTTGGAGGATCCAAATCTTCATTCATTTCAACTCATTCATCATCATTTTCTATAGTCCACTCATATTCGGATGGAATATCATCAAACAGCTCTTTAAATGAATCATATGATCTTTTTCTAGCTTGCTTTTGCTTAGCCAATTTTGAATTAGCCATGACAAAATCATCATTCATAGTCTTTTACTTCAAACGGTCTGGTTTTACATCTTTAATCACAGAGAACAGATAGTGAGATAGAACCAATGACTTGTGAGAAAAACAGAGTCAGAGGTAGAGGAAAAAAGCAGAGTCAGAGAACTGCAAGAGTGAGGAACTGTGAGTAGGAGCACAATGATTCTTTGCTTTGCGCAGCAGTGGTAGAGGAACAGAACAGAGAGTTAAAGAGTCAGAGATGAACTCAGACGTGGCAGAAGAGAGCTCTGGTCATGATATTTGTGCAGCAGTCTAGGGTGAGGGTTTGCAAAAGGTTGAAGAAGACACAAGAACATGGCAGTAAGTATCGTAGGAATCGCGATTCGTATCGTACGATACGAAACGATTCCGTGCTTCAGCGATTCGAATCGCATGGTGTATCGTTTTTGATCCTGAATCGTTTTTGAATCGTTTGTATCGGGTTTAGAATCGGAAAATCGCGATTCTGGAAGGTCTCGCACGATTCTGGGAAGAAACGGGTCGCGTCTGAAACCGGGTCGGGTCATGCGTGACCCGGTTCTGAAAACCCTAAAAAAATGATTTTTTTTAAATAAAAAAAGACGAAACTGAGACAGAAAATGCCGATACCCATTCCTGTACATGACCCACTTATTGGGTTTCACTTTTAGTTTTCCCTTTGTCTCGTCCAGGTTCGCAGCTTCGTTTCGATGGCTGTTTGGGTTGCTGTTCTTCGTGTTAGTGGTCCACTTGTTGCTGAGTTTATGCAGCAACAACACTAATATTTTTTTTGGGTGGCTATATTGCTGATTAGAGTAGCAAACAGTCCCTTGTATATGTATATATTTAGCAACAACAATGATTTTTTTGGAGGCTTTGTTGTTGAACTGTACAGTCATTTCTTTTGGCTTTGAGACTGTTATTATTTGTATAATTCTATCTTTGTTTGTATTTTGAAGCTTATATATTACTATATATTTATGTATGACTTCATTTTGTCTGTTTCTTTATATTAAAATGTGCTTAGAGTGCTTTTATATGTCTTGTATGCATATATATACACTATGTTTTTATTGATCATGAATCTTACGATTCACGATACGATTCGATTCACGATTCAAAAAATAAGCTTTCCGATACATTATGTGTATCTCGATTCAACTACCATGCACAAGAATGCCAGCGGCGATGTTTTCTTCATTTTAGGGTTGGGTTAGAGTAAACTTAGGTTTTAGGGATTGAATTTTATGGGCTTAGGTTTTCGGAAGCACAAAACAATAAAAATGAAACTTGACCCAAAACTTGAAATTTGGCACAAAAAACACTGGACCAGAGAACATGAAAAAAAAATACGTTTCCACCATTTCTATGATCCTGCACGGAAATTTAACGATTCTGCTTTCCAAGATTCTAGCCATGGACAAACTTGTCCAAGCATGGAAGAAGCATAGAATTGCACTGCATAGAATCATGACTCTATGAGTCGAATCATGATTTTGACTATCATGATTTTAGTTAAACTTATGCTACTAATTATGACTCATGAGTTGTATTGGATGTTGTGGTTATGAATTTTCAGCTTAAGTTTAGTTTAATTATGTGATTTAGAGGTTATTTTCAATATGTATGTTATCTTTTATTATCTGTATTTGTTCAAGCATAATTGTGCATTTCAAGCAAAAGCTAAAGCTGAATTAAGAACCCAAGAATGAATTTGACCCTTAGGGATGAACTTATGTTTTCACCTTTAACTGTTTATTCGAAAGATTTTATGAAAATATATTTTCAGACTGCAATAGGTTGAAAGTGAGATATTGTCATATTGCTCAAAGTTATAGCAATTGAACATTAGTTTAAATAGCTTTTGTGAATAAGCTATCTGCTCAATTCTAAGTTTTTAATAATCATAAGTACACGTTCAAAACATACTTATCACTTAAACTTCACTGTAGCAACACTAGAAGTTGTAATAATTCTGAAATGCATTAGTAGTTGAATAATATTAGTATATTGCACTTAATGACAATGTAGCCACCTTATAGTTTGATTATTGGAAATTTGGAAGTCCATTCAGATAGTGATTATTTTCATTACATTTGATATGTTGGACTTTGTTGTTTTGGAATGAACTTCTTTCGTGGTTGTTCCACCATAATTACATCCATCAAGCATTGCTTGAATAATGGTTTTTACATTTGCAGATTGTTGATAAACTCCATTGGTATGTTCAGAATGGTGATACAGTAAGTACTGATATTGACCTACAATTATTTAATTTATTGTATTCGGATAGTGATACAATTTTTGGTCACAGTAAATACTCCTCCAAAAGCTTGTGCTTGCATGAAATTTACTATAATAATTTTCTCAAAGTATACTTCTATAAAACAGATCTGACGTTGGGTTGTTTTAGTTTTATAGATCCTTTTAACATTTTATTATTTAATTCTTTTATTTTTTTTGGTAAATATAGGGAACCAATGATGCAGTCTGACAATTCTATGTTTGCATGACTCGACTTTTGTTTAAGTATAGGAAAGATCTTTTTTAATTTCCATGTTGATTTCTTGCTTACCTGGAATTTTACGGAAGATACTTAAAACCTTTGTTTTCACAATTTTTATTCTGTTTTTGAAAATTACAACTTTTACAAGTCTGCCTGAATTTTTGTCATTTCTGTACAGCAAAACAGCGAATTTTCCTCATGGAATTCTGATATGCTATAATTTGTCTGGTGGTGGTGGATGGCATTCTTAACATGTTTAATCACCTACTAATTTTAATGTTGATTATCTGACCGGGGATTGTTACTTTCTGGTCAGATTGTGGACTTCTGTTGTGGTGCTAATGATTTTAGCATTCTTATGAAGAAAAAGCTGGACGAGACAGGGAAGAGATGCTCATACAAAAACTTTGATTTACTTCCAACAAAGGTAATTAAACGTTTTCAAGTTATAACTTATTACTCTAATTCCTGTAATTCAATTTTTGCTCATTGCCACTGCAATGCGTGGTTTCTGATTTTAAATTGAGATGTATTTAAATTTAAATGTTGAGACACAGAAAAATTATAGGTGAAACCATTGAGGGCTGCAGTCAATAGTTGTATCTAGAGACATGATTTACAATAGGATGTTATGGTGTTGTTTATTCTATGTAGCCTATCCCACCTAGTCGGTAATTGTTGGTTGCTGCTGTTAAATGTTGAAAGTATGGTATGATTTCTTTTAAGGTCCCATTTGGAAGAGTTTATGAATAACTTATTTTTACTTATCTTATTTGTAAGTATTTATGGGAGTGTTTGGACAAACTTATAAAATATTTTATGAATAGCCCATAAGATATTTTGAGTTTATTTTGATAAGCTGTTTAGTATATAACTTATTACTTATATTATGTGAGAACATATTGAAAAATACCCAAGTTTGAATCTTATCATTGATGTAAATTATTTTTATTTTTTTATTCTTTCACTAACAACCAATTATATATTTTTTTTCAATACTTCCTACAAAAGTTTCTGTTTCTTTTTATTATTTTTCTCTTCAAATATTTTTCCTATCTCTCCCTCCCCCCCAAAAAAATCCACATTCCACAATTATAAAAAAAACCTGGTAACTTTATTTTTTCTCTAAAATAGCACATCTAGAATGATTTTGTTGTTAATATCTATACAATAATTTTTTTAATCATTAATTATAAAATATATACAATTGATTTTAAATTTTTAAATTTGACTTAATTTTTAATCATGGTTATATTATATATATTTGATTTCTCATATTTTATTATTAGTTTTATTTTTTTATAAACTAAAATTATGTGAATGGTGACTAGTAATTTTTATATATCATTTTTAATATTATTGTGATGTATAATGTCTTTTTTAAAATCTATTTAGTTACTTTTTATATTTTTATTTTACTTTCAGTCAAAATTTAATTTGTAATATTCTTAATTTTTAAAATGAGACTTAAATAATGATACATCCAAACATTTTAAAATTGTGTAAGTACTTGTTAACATGTATATCTAAATGTAACAACTTGTTGAATTTTAAGTACTTATGATATAGGTTCATATTACATACGAGCTTATTATATAAGATTTTATATAAGTTGTTTCTCCAAACGGACCCTAAAGTGGGCAGAGGTTTCCAATATGCAACCAGTTGTATTTCAGTTTATCAATGATGTTTTTTCTGTATTATTTGCTATTGCGCCTTTGTATTAGAATACTCGAGCCCTGGATAACTAATGATTTGGTTAAAACTAAAGTGCTTACGAGTCTGTATTGACATATGCTTTTGGTTTCTTATTGGTGTATCATTGTATGATATTTTGGGTTCCCCTTTTTTTTTTATCATTTTTTTGTTTTTATTTTTTTATGTATGATCATCTTCTCATTGGGTGACAGGATAATTACCTGTTGCATATAAAAATGTTTAATCAGTCATTCATGGGTAGAATTTGATTTACTAAATATGGGAAGTAAAATAATTTGTCGAGATTTAGCTTTTGAGTGTCATATTGAAGTGTGTTTTATTGTGAAAATTCCTTGTTCATATCAATTCTTCACAACTCATGAGATTTTTCCTGTCATTTAAAACAACAAATGCATATTATTGAAGTTAAAAGTGTGGTGTGTGGGTGGCTGTGTAATACAGTTAATAGTAACTTGCCTCCATATTCTTCAGGAATATTTCAAAGCTATTGAAACCTCTCTCTCTCTACTATGTTATATAGCTGCTTACAGAATAGCAGTTTATTGAGGCGTTGTCTCATTTGAAGTTTGAAAGCTTTGGCGCTTTTCAAATAGTTTAAGGGAGCCTGATTGATGTTTAGTAATAATTGATAGGCCGATCTGTTACAGAATGGTTTAAAACGAATTACATGTTATCAGTTATGAGCATAATGGTTTTTATATGATGGTTTCAGCTAATTTTGATGAAGGAAAATACAGAATATACAAGTGTTCATTATAAGATTATCATATTATTTTTCTTTACCCGTTTACCAGAAATTTGCTTGTTTACAGAATGATTTTAATTTTGAGATGAGAGATTGGATGACTGTCCAACCAAATGAGTTGCCTTCAGGGTCACAGTTGGTAAGAATCATTTTCATGGTTGAGACGTGTGCATATCCACATGGCCAGTTCACATATTTCTTTTATTATTTTCTTGTCTGCTGGAACAGATCATGGGCCTCAACCCCCCCTTTGGACTTAAGGCAGCTTTGGCTAACAAGTTCATAGATAAAGCTCTACAGTTCAAGCCTAAGCTCCTGATTCTCATAGTACCATCAGAGACAAAGAGGTAATGTCCTTTTTCTTGTTATTTTTTTTTTCAAGAATAGGAGTGTTAAATAAACTTTCCCTTCACACCAATCTGCCAAGACCACGTTGGAGTTGTTGCTTCCTTGGTTGGAGTTCATTTTCTTGTCGTGTCTTTTCATGTTTGTTTCCTTATTATATAGGCTAGATGATAGACGGTCGACTTATGATCTTGTTTGGGAGGATGAGAGGTTTCTATCGGGCAAGGTAAATAAATATTTAATAAATATATTTTGTTAATGTATATTTTGATTGTTACATGCTCTTTATTGTTCCTACTGCTGTCTTTATTTATTTTTCCCTGTTGTCCTTTTTTGTCTTCAGTCATTTTATCTACCTGGATCAGTTGATACTAACGACAAGCAAATAGAACAATGGAATGTAAAGCCACCCCCACTCTATCTTTGGAGTCGTCCTGATTGGACTGATAAGCACAAGGCCATAGCTCGGGAGCATGGTCACCTCATCAGTCACCATGAGGTGTCTAAAATGGAAAGCTTTGATAAAGGAACATCACCTGCCAGTCATAATGTGGATGATAATTATGGTTTTGATATCACGCCAGGGCATGATATATTGAATTCAGCTGAGGCAGATATGAGTGATGGCCAGACAGGATGCTCATCGCATGGAAATGTTGATCGAGAGGGCCAAGAGAGACAGGAATATCGGGCGAGCAAGGCTGAGAAGACCTCATTAAAGAGGAAACGAACTGAGGAAAATGATGGAAGAGGACTAGGTGGGACCTCACCATCCAAAAGGCAGGTTGTAAATCAAATGCTTGAGGGAGTACTGGACCATAGCGAACCCAATCCAATTTGTGGGAGATCCTCAGTTGAACGTTTTCAGCCCAAACCTGACATGCCACCTCCAGATTTTGAGCTTGGTGATAAAGGTTATAGGCATTTGGAGCCTACCTCTTCTTCACGTTTGGGGGGGCTAAGAGCAGTCTATAGTGGGTCCCAGAATTGGTCGAGTGTTGCCAATCCCCATTATGATGCTGGGGTTACGGATGTAGATGAACACCATAGCAGCCTCGGCGGCAGTAACGTTGGATATAGACCTTATGTTAGAGAGGATGATAACTACATTAGGGAATTAGAGGCAAGGCAACAGACTCGCCATTATGGGCTTCTGAATCCTAATTCTGTGACGTCTAATTATCTATCTGGTCATGACCCAGCTCATAGCCGCCCCATGGGATCAAGTTATCCACTCCATGGTTCATTATCCGAGTCTTACACACCAGCCATGCAACGATATGCACCTCGCCTAGATGAGTTAAACCATGTCCGGATGGATCCTTTGGGGTCTGAACCTCCTATAGTTGGTAGAAACGGCACTTTTGAACGTAGCATGCCCCAACCTGGAAATGGAAGTTCGATGCCAGGTTTTGCCGCTGGTTATCACCATGTGTATTCACGCCAGAATTCATCAGACTGGTTCAATGGTTAGTTTGAATGCCCATTTTTTAGTTTTCCTCTTTTACTTTTTTTATTTTTTATTTTATAAAGATGCTGTATGTTGTATCCAGAAGATATCATTGGTTTGTTATGGTAATCTTCGGTTTATTTCCTTCTCAAAGAACATTTAGGGGTAATCATGTGTATATGGAGGCTCTAGTGGATAGATATGGTGTATTATCTAGTTTTATATTGTAAATTACAATATATACAATCTGGAATCTGAGACTTGCTTTCAATTGGATATTTTAAATATTCTTTCTTCTCTACTTTGAATGTGTATTTGATGATGGATGCTTTGGTGGACCACTTAGTTAACTGGTGTATGATGGATTAATAGCAAAATTGAAATTAAACTTTAACGACATTTAGATATTTTACGCTCGTGACATCTCACCGGCTACTGCCTGTAACATCGTCACCATGGGCATCTCAATAGCCATTGCAACCTCTGGTTCTTGACCTCTAATGACTTTTCCTCTGTTACAAACACATGTCATATCCAAAAAGTTGAAAAGCTTTTTCAGAGGAATTTGGTACTTTTAAATGTGGTGAATGCTTCAGGTGATCGAGAAGTCGGTAAGCAACAATCTTCTGAGAGGCAAAATTTACTAACATTTGTAAAGATACTACAGTGCCAAATCAATGAGTGTAGCTGTAAAAAAATGAGTATAGTTAGTTTTATACCTGTCTGAAAAATCTTATATAATATTCTCTCCTGTCTCTTTTATAATAAACGATTTCATAAAATACATTACTATTTGTTCCTATAAAAAAAAATCGGAGGGAGTTATAATTAAACATTTATTGGGCCACATATCAGGGTCCAAAAGAGTAAAGATCTCCATTTTTTTATTATTAAAGTTTTAAAAGTAGAAATGTAACTCTTTCAAAAGTGAGTGCTTCTAATATGAAGTAGTTGAACACGTTTCATCCATGAGGTAGTAAAATGACTGACAATAGCAAGTTTTTTAACTTGTTTATATTAGTAAAATAGTCTTTATATTATATGTGGAGACACGGTAGAGGCGCGGTGGCGGTGGAGGCATGGTGGCAGCGGAGGTGTCGTCTCCTTCCAAGGTGGTGGCAACGCAGTGGTAGTGGAGGCGCGACTTCTTTCGGGTGGTGTAGTTAAAGCGCGGCCTCGTTTGCGTACTGGCAGCGGAGCTGCGACTTCTTTCAAGCGGTGGCAGCGGAAGCACGGCTTCATTCGCGTAGTGGAGCGGAGGTGCTGTCTTCTTCCATGGTGGTGGCAATGGAGGCGTGACCTTCTTCGCGCCTGGCTCGCCTTTGACAGCCTCGGCGTCGCACTCCTCTATAGAACATCTCTATTGGCCTTTTCTTCGGCCTCCCCATGCCCCTCCAGCCCATAAAGTCCATCATCGCCGTTGCATCTCCGCCTCCCTGCCCCTCACCATCCCCCAAATCTCCACCACAGGCCTCTCTGTTCCTACCGTCCTCCTCCTCCTCGGCACCACCAGCCTCACCGCTACCTCCCCTTCCCTGTCGTCCACGACGTTCAACTCTCCCAAGGCCTCTCCTTTGCCTTCTCCGCCATCAACTACATCCGCTACGACCAAAACCTCACCACCTCCAAATCCGGCCCTTCCCACCCCTGGCTTGCCCTTGACGGCCTCGCCGTTGTCATCTTTCTCGTCCTCACCACTGGCGCCAGCGACCAACTTCCACCCTCACCACCACAAGAAAACGAAAACAGGGACTAATATGTAAAATACACAAATTTTCTTTTCCAAGTTACAGGTAACAATATATGAACCGTTGATTATTATATTATTAAATCTAATGGTTAAAAGTAGTGCTTCATCCATGTACCACATTTCATACTGCTTTATGTTAGAATTTTCTTTCAAAAGTATGTATTATCAACTTCATTTTGTTAATTTTTTCAAAAGTTTATGAAATGAAAGTAAAAAGAAATGGAGAGGATCTGTTAAAAGGTCCAAACAAATCGTAGTTGCATTGGTAAAAGTAACATTGACATATGGTTTAGATATTATCTATTTGGTACGAAGCGGTGTTAAGTGCTCAAGGCGTGAAGCCTAGCTGAGTTTAAGGCACGAAGCTGAGATGAGGGCTCAAGGCCTAAAGTCAAATTGACTGCTTAAGGTGAAAAACTTAGTCGAAAATAAATGGTTGTCAGTGAGCCAATGTAAGTCAGGTTATATTTCGATAAGATGTAAGTAAAGTTCTATATCATTTAAACAAGAGGATAAACATGAATTTATATACACATAATTGTTTTGATTAGTAAAAAGTGTTTTTGGTGATGTCCAAAAGTAGAATCATAAGGGCTCAAATCAAAAGTAGATAATATCATACCATTGTGGAGATATGTGTGTGCTTGAAATTCTTTAGTACATAACAAGTAGTATCAGAGCGAATGGTCGATCAGTTGACTGACTCGTTGATAAGTGAATTTGGGTATATGATCTCTTATATAGAGGAATGTTCTCCTGATAAAATGGAGGGTTAGAAGATGTGTTCCACTATCGTGAATTAACATGATGGAGTGGTGGTGTAAGTACTTAAAACATAATTGAACTTTATGGGCTACCATTGGATATACTTGTCTTCCTAATGGTGGGTCATATATGGAGGAATATCCTCTTGGTAATATAAAAGATTAGGAGGGTGTTCCACTATCGTGAGTTAACACGATGGAGTGGTGGTATGAGTACTTAGAGTGTGATTGAGCTCTGAACCACCATTGGATATACTTGTGTTGTCTCCATTAGTTAGAAATTTTTTGATTGATGTTTAAAAGCAAAATCGTAAGAACTTAAGTCTAAATTAGATAATATCTTACCAATATAAAATCGTGTGTATATGATAACCTCCAATGTAGAACATATCTTGAGTGTGAAGCGATGTCACATGAATCATGTATTACCATATTAATTTCCTATCATGACAATTAACATATTGATTTTGTAAAGTTAAGTCATAATTTCGTATTTTATGAAAACCCAACCATCTTATACTTGACATGGTGAAACCTGCATTACGGGAAATGACAAATGAACCCAACCATCTCAAACCTGAGCATGTTGAAAACTTGCTCTGCGAGCGTGGCAAATGAACTCCATCTTGTACCCAGGCATGGTGAAAACTTGCTTCGTGGGCGGTGGCTATTAAGTATAAACCCATGGACAACTTAGTGTTGCGTGACCTTCAAAATAGTTAAGACTTTGTTAATAATAATGTGTAGAGAAACCATGAGGGACACGAGGTTGGCCATGCTTGGCAATATTCGTAAGCTGAAAAAGAACCACCTGCAAGTCAAAATATTACAAATAAATTAAGCAAGACTATGTAAGTTTTGAACAACAACAACATAATGATAATAATAATAAGCAAAATGAACAGAGTGAATTAACTATAGTGTTAACCTTGTTGAGATCCCAATGAGGTCTTATCCAAGTTACAAGTTTTTTTTATTTTTTATTTTTTTCAATTTCTCCCAAATCCCAAAGTCTGTCACACAGTGGGTGATAGTGGACGCAAGTCATTTGGAGGGCTATGTTTTGCTCTTGCAAAATCTTTCGTGCGAATAGAAAAAAAAAAAAAAAAAAAAAAAAAAGATATAACGCAAGTCATGCAATTGCAAACTATATCGACTACTTCACATTTAAGCTGTGTAAAGTACTTAGAGGAATGTGTTGCCCCTGATCTTGCTATTTCATTTCAAACAAATATAATGTAATTAGTTTTGATGTCCAAATCTTATGAGGACTAAGCCAAGGGATAAAAGTATGGTAAATTGGTAATGACTTTTTTCATATATACATATGATATTGTACGAGCATATACTGTAAATGTATTTTATGCATGTCATATAACACTCCACTATGCAATTATTATAATGCTATGATGTAATTTTGCAACGTCAATTCAAAACTTGATTTTGCTTGTGTAACGCCTCTAATTCTCAAAGGTTAAAATTTTAGTTTAACGGTCGATTTTAATTAATCAAATACTTTAATATGTCATAATCGAGGAAAAGTTTCTAACTTATTTTATTTTATTTTAACTGTGCAAACCTTTTGAATTTGTAAATATTCATCTCATACACATAGGAATAATAATTTAAATCATATACATGTTTTAATAGTTATACATCATGTCATAGTGTTAGTGCTAGATTGGAAGTCATATTTATTTATATAACACAACAAAAGTTAAGCGGTACATGTGTGATGCAACTTGATTATGTCTATGTTATCTCTCTTGGCAAGTGTACTAAATTGTATAAGTAGTTCAATGAAAGTATGAGTATCGTCTTCTAAAGGATTTGTGCAACACTTTACAAATTCACTTGTTATACTAAGCTACCAAAAAATAATAAGAGTTTAATTTGTTGTAATAAATAACGTAAACAAACAATAAGAATTCTTTTTGGTATTTCTGTAAACACTTAGGATGCAAAACTTGATTCCAAAACAATATTAATAAATGTAAGCAAACAATAACAATTCTTTATCACTAAGCTCACAATAGTTATCATTCAGAATTTATTAATCACTCTAAAAAATAACCAACTCTAATTTCTTACAAGTTGGCATCTAAGTTGCTAGATTAAACTATCAATCTCTTGCATAGTCTAACCAAGAAACCAACTTTAAAAACCAAAGCTTAAGAAAGACTAATGACATTTACTCTATCTCTAGCAATAAGCACCATTAGCTGCTCTATTTCTATTCAAAGGTTTAAAATCATTTCTCAATCTCATAAAAACCTCAAGTTCAAGTTAAGGGTGATCAAGCCATAACAAGTATTATGCACAGGAAACAAAGCAATAAAACTGAATAACAACTAACATTGATCACTTAGAGTTTACACATGAGAATGGGTTTAGTTACACCAAACTTCAACAAGGGTGAGATTAGCTACACATAGACATGTAGAACTCTACAAAATGATGAAGAAAGGAATAAGCTTGATCTTGAAGGTTCCAAAGCTCTCCAGCCGCCACACAGACTCCAAGACTGATTCTTCCCCTTCTATCCTCGAAAATCTCTCTTTTAAGTAATAAAAGCTTTTGTCTTATCTAAGTAATGACATGTTAGCACAATTCACGCTAAGCGTGAGATGCCACACTAAGCGTGAAGGATGGGTCTAGAAGGAAGTAACTTTCTGGAACACTGACGCTTAACACCAATTGCCACGCTCAACTTGAGGATTAAAGTTTGTTCCATAACTCTCTGCCAAGCTGAGGCTAAGCGTGGATCTGAAGCTTAGCGCGG